CCGGCCGGGGGGCACGCGCCCCCCCCCCCGCCAACACACATACACACTTTAACCACTACACCCCACTTCCCCCGGAGCTATTTCCCAAGCAGTAAATGCAAAAAATTCCCCTCTCTGGGGACGGGGGAGAAGCACCTCATGAAGGCCTCAGCACCAAGGCTGTCATGCCAGGTACTGCCCAGACCCCAACTGAGATCGGGGCCCCGTCGTGCCAGGCGCTGCTCACACCCTGACCAAGATCAGGGCCCCCCATTGTGCCAGGCGCTGCTCCCCCACACCGAGAGACAGTCCCTGCCCCAAAGGGCTTCCAGTTTAATTGCACAGAAGGTGTGTGTGGGGGGAAACTGAGGCAGAATTCCTGAGCGGTGATTCGGCCAAGGTCACCCTACCATAGCAGAGCTGGGGTCCCAGGAGTCCTGATTCCCAGCCTCACCAACCCCTGCTCTAAACTACTAGCCCCCACTCCCTTCCCAGAGCCAGGGATAGAACCCAGGAGTCCTGACTCCCAGTCTCCTGCACTCCCCTCCTTTCAACTCCTGGCATTAACACCATTGGGGCTCGTGGGGTGACTTTAGCTTCTCTGCCCCAGGCTTTGGGGTGAGACATGACTCCCCATTTCCCTCCTCCACCCGCCAAGGCCCCCAACCACCCAGGCTGTTGTCACAGCGGCAAATGGGCTTTTAAAAAAAAAAACAACAAAAAACCCATAAAGGCAGCGGGGAAAATTTAAGGCACGGTTGCCATGGAGATCTCGTCCTAAATACCGGCTATTAACGAGGCCAACGCGCTCCGCGGCGGGATGAGCAGATGCTGCCGGAGGCTTTGTCTCCCCCCATCCCCATCCACGGGCAGAGCCATCCAGAGCGGATGCTGCACTCGGGGTACAATCCCTCGGAGGGATAACGGTGCTGCCCCCTGGAGTACCCGGGGCAGGGCATGGAGGTGCTGCCCCACCCTCACCCCCATGAGTCCCAGAGTAGTGCCTGTGGGCAAAGGGGCCCTCATCCCCCATCACCCCATGGTTGCCCATTCACGGCTGAGGCTGCCAGCGCTGGTTAGTGCCAGAGGTACCTTTGACCCCTCGGGAGAGGGGCATGGGGGGTATGTCTCAGGCCATGGCATGGCTGGGTGGGTAGCTGAGGGGGCACGGCTCCCTGCCAGGTCCATTTTGGGCACCGATGTTGTGTCTGGCTGTCATCACATGGGGACCAGATGGAGCAACAGCCACAGGGAGAATGACACTGGAACCAGATCCTTCTGTCCATCAAGCATCCATCTATCCACTCATCCATCCATCTGTCTTCCATCCATCCATTTATCCACTCATCCATCTGTCTGTCTACAATGCATCCATCCATCTCTGTCCATCATCCATCCACTCATCCATCTGTCTGTCTACAATCCATCTATCCACTCATCCATCCATCTGTCTACAATCCATCCATCTATCCACTCATCCATCCGTCTCTGTCCACCATCCATTCATCCACTCATCCATCGATTTGTCTTTCCACTCATCCATCTGTCCACCATCCATCTGTCTGTCTACCATCCATCCATCTATCCATTCATCCATCTACCATCCATCCATCCACTCATCCGTCTGTCTGTCTACCATCCACCCATCCGTCTACCCATCCAACCATCCACCCATGTATCCATCCATCCATCCACTCATCTATTCGCTGATCCAGCCATCCGGCTACCCATCCATCCAGTGATCTGTCCATCCATCCACCCCTCCATCTATCTGTCCCTTTATCAGTCCTTCCACCTCGTCCCACCAACTCTTGCTGACCCAGGCCTCATCTCCTGGGGACTATACAGTGAGGAACCGTCCCAAGGCACAAACACCCCCTTTTTCTGCAGCAGAGCCAAATGGGCTTTTAAACCAACCTAGCCGAAGCGATGCAGACACCAGTGTGGACGTGCCGCTTTTGGGCTAAGAGCGGCTGAGTCCGGTTCAGCTTCACCCTTGTTCCGAAACGACGCCGGTTGTTTGGTTTACCTGGAGGAATCGGCGCTGGCTCGGCGCGAAATCCCATGCCACGCTTACAGCTTCGCTGGCCGTGTAGACATCCCCCCGGTGCCTTTCCGCTCCCCGCATCCCCCCCCGCTCAGACAAACACACAATCCCACATGCATTTTTCAAAGCAAAAGCCACTTAACAAGGCGGCGGCCTAAATTATTCAGGGCCTCCTGGGCCAAGCGCAACCAGCCCGCAGATTTGAAAGCTTTCCGGGGCAGGGGAGTGGCTGGAAGCCACAGCGCGGTGAGGGGCTGTGCGGGGAGCACGCCCCCCCCCCCCCGGGGAACCTGTTAATTGCCCAGCCCTGCCACTACAGTTTTGTCAGTTTCTTTCCCCTTTGCGCGTGTTAGCCCCACCTCATCCCTCTGAATTCACCGCCCCCCCCCGTTTGGAGTGAGACTGGCTATAACTACTAGCCCCCACTCCCCTCCAGGGCCAAACCCAGAAGTCCTGACTGCCAGCTCCACCCCACTCTAACCACTAGCTCCCACTCCCCTCCCAGAGCTGGGGAAAGAACCCAGGAGTCCTGCCTCCGGAGAAGGGACTTCAGCCCCGTGTTCAGACAAGCATCCCAGGTACCCCCGTCCCCCGAGTGAGGGGACCTCTGGCCGTCAGAGCCCAGGGCTCCCATCTGGACACCCACCTGGCTGGCCCCGCACTGCTCCACTTACCCAAATTCAAACCAGACGGGTCTGGGAACATGATCGGATGCCTAGAGGTGGGGGATGGGCAGGCAGGACTCCCCTCCCCCAGCTCTGCTGGTGCCCCTCACTCCCAATCTGCAGCCCCCTGTAACTCCAGCCCATGGCTCCCCCCCCCAGCTCTGCCAATGCCCCTCAATCCCAACCCCCAAAGCCCTGCCACCCCAGCCGTGAGCTGGCACCACTCGGGCTCCCCTCAGCCGCAGCGTCCGATGAGATCGACATCCCTCCTCCCCGGTGGGGCCGTGGCAGCGAATCCATCAGGCCTGGCTGGGTTTAGAATCATTTTATTTCGCTCCTAACGAAGGCGGGTGAGGAAGTGCTGCCCAGGGCCTCCTCCCAGGCCCGCTGGTGCCTCTCCCGCCTGCCTGTCTCGGGGAGAGCCTGAGTCTATTGCTGAGAAACAGGGCGAGCCGCCCTGGGTGTGACCGACGCTGCCTGAGTTTGCCGAGAGCCTGAACCCATTGCTGTGCGAGGGGGGGTAAGACACTCCCTGGGCTTGGCTGGAGATAGACGGCCGGGCTGGAAGGAGACTACCGCTGGTCGGAAAAGCAGGTTGCAGGAAGGCCCCACGATCCCATATGGGAGGGGGGGAAGGGGAGGGGAACCCAGGAGTCCTGGCTCCCAGCCCCCACCTCCGCTTTCATCACTAGGGCCACCTTCCCAGAGGTGACACATTCCTCTCCTTTGCTGCAATGATTCTCCAGGGCAGTGACACCCCCTCTCCCAGTTCAATCCCCCCCATGCAACGACCACCCCCAGCTCCTCACTGTGGTGCCCCCCTGACACTGACCCTCCCACAATGCCCCCCGTACAGCGGTCCATCCCCACCCCTGCTATAATAACCCCCAGATCATGACCCTGCCCTGACACCCCCCATGCAGCCACCCCCCAGCCCCGCTAGTGATCCCCCGGGTCCAGTGACAGCTCCCAGCCAGGGCCCACTCGGAGCAGGCAAGTTTATTAGAAAATTATAGACACCGTTCGAAAACGCGTGTGTGGGGGGGTGTCATAGAAAAACACCTGCCAAGGCTGCAGGCAAGAACCGGGGTTCAGGGGGCGGGTGGTGTAGCGGGACCCCCCCTCCCCCAGCATGGCTGGCCCAGGACAAACCCTGAGCTAGGGCAAGGGTGGGCGGCACCATCCCCTGGAGAAACGGGGTCCTTGAAAAGCCCTGAAACAGAGAGAGAGAGAGATGGGGTCAGTGCCTGAGGGCTGAGTGCTGAGGGGGGGCAGAGAGGTAGTCAGGCTCTGCAGGGGAACAGCCACCCCCATCTCTTCCCCATCCCTGTGGGCTGTGGCCCTGGGGTCGGGGTCAAAGCGAGGGTCCACAGGGTGGGGAACTGATTCACTAGAGATGCCTCCCCCCAACCCCGATCAGGGCCCACACTCACCACCTGTCTGGGCACACCCCCTCACAGGCCCCGTTCCGGGGGGGAGGAGGAAGGGGCCCAGTCCGGCTCCCAGGGTCCCATATGGTCCAGGCTGCTGGGTGGTGGGCGTGAAATGGGAACCCCGAGGGGGCAGGGAGGGGGGCCCCACTGCTTCCGGTGACCACGGGGATCTGGAGAGAGAAGAAGAAAGAGTGAGGCTGGGCAGAGATGGACCTTGAGGATGTGGGGCAGGGAGGGGGCAGAGAGGGGCTGGAGAGGGGCACAACGGAGCCCCAGTGGCCCCAGCAGATCCTGCCACTCTGATCCCCTCAGCCTATGGGTCTGAAACCACCGAATGCAATGGGGCCAGGCCGGGTTCTGATCTCAGCCCTCTGGGGTCAATCCAGAGTCACCCCCTGACTGCAATGGGGCCAGGCCGGATTCTGATCTCAGCCCTCTGGGCTCAATCAGGAGTCACTCCATGATTGCAATGGGGCCAGGCGGGTTCTGATCTCAGCCCGCCAGGGTCAATCCAGAGTCACTGTGGGCAATCTTGGCACCCACTGCTCAACTCTTAGGTGCAGGCAGAGGGTCCGTGTGACGCCCCCGGCTCCCCCACATCACCCGCTGCAGATGAAAGAGTGACAGTGCCCCCAGTGGAGACGCTCGGCGCAGCAGCTCCCGGCCTCCCCCCCGCCTGGCCTCCCTGGATGAGGGACACCCACACCTGAGGGTGCCCTGATGGCTCAGCCACTCTCCTGCTGGGTGAGATGCTCAGATCTTCACATCGGTCCATTCACTGGCCCGTCTCCTCTCACCCATGGGGGGCACCGCCTCCGGGGGGGCTGCCAAAAAGGGGACAAACAAGGCGGGTTGGTTGGGTGCTGGAGCAGTGACCGGACGGGCTCCATCAGGCTGCTTGGAACAAGTCTGTCTGTCCATCCACCCATCCAATCATCCACCCATCTGCATTACCCATCCGTCCATCCATCCATCCACCTGCATTACCCATCCGTCCACCCATCTGCATTACCCATCTGTCCATCCATCCACCCGTCTGCATTACCCATCCGCCCATCCATCCACCCGTCTGCATTACCCATCCGCCCATCCATCCACCCGTCTGCATTACCCATCCGTCCATCCAGCCATCTGTCTGCATTATCCAGCCAGCCAGCCATCTGTCTGCATTATCCAGCCAGCCAGCCATCTGTCTGCATTATCCAGCCGTCCATCCACCCACTTGTCTGCATTACCCATCCGTCCATTCATCATCCACCCGTCTGCATTACCCATCCATCCATCCATCCACCCACCTGTCTGCATCACCCATCCGTCAGTCCATCCAACCATCCACCTGTCTGCATTACACATCGGTCCATCCACCTGCATTACCCATCCGTTCATCCATTCACCCACCCGTCTGCATTACCCATCCATCCATCCACTCACCCGTCTGCATTACCCATCCGTCCATCCACCCACGTTACCCATCCGTCCGTCCATCCATCCATCATCCACCCGTCTGCATTACCCATCCGTCCATCCATTCACCCGCCCGTCTGCATTACCCATCCGTCCATCCGCCCACGTTACCCATCCGTCCGTCCATCCATCCATCATCCACCTGTCTGCATTACCCATCCGTCCATCCATCCAACCATCCACCTGTCTGCATTACCCATCCGTTCATCCACCTGCATTGTCCATCCGTCCGTCCATCCATCATCCACCCGTCTGCATTACCCATCCGACCGTCCATCCAACCATCCACCTGTCTGCATTACCCATCCGTCCATCCACCTGCATTAGCCATCCGTCCATCCATTCACCTGCCCGTCTGCATTACCCATCCGTCTGTCCATCCATCCACCCGTCTGCATTACCCATCCTTCCATCCAGCCATCTGTCTGCATTATCCATCCATCCACCCGCCTGCATTACCCATCCGTCCATCCACCCACCCGCATTACCCATTTGTCCATCCATTCATCATCCACCCATCTGCATTACCCATCCGTCCGTCCATCCATCATCCACCCGTCTGCATTACCCATCCGTCCATCCACCCACCCGCATTACCCATTTGTCCATCCATTCATCATCCACCCGTCTGCATTACCCATCGTCCATCCACCCGCCCGTCAGCATTATGTCTACCTGTGACGAACTGGGACTGTTCTTACTGCGGTCTGTGAATGCTGACAGGGGAGTGTGGCTGGGATAGTCTGCATTGGGGGATGGTAGACTGCCCGAAGGCGAATACCTGAGC